CAAGTCCGTCGTCGTTCTGCATCTACATGTACTATGCAGCTATTCTCACTAATACCCTTATAACTCACATGAGGAAGGACTTCATCAGACTGGAGGTGTGTGCTTCAACAGTAGCTATATACACACACACACACATACAGAGGTTTGTAATTATATCTTTGTGGGGACTCTCCATTCACTTCTATGGAGAAAACTCTAATCACAACAAGACAACCTTAACCCCTACCCAGCCCTAAACTTAACCACAAGTAACCAAACAAAATATGAGACTTTTGGCATTTTTACCTGTTTGATTGCATTCACAGATCTTTGTGGGGACCTGAAAAATGGTCCCCACTGCATCAAAAAAACATGTTTTTATTACATTGTGGGGGATAGTTGGTCCTCACAACATACAGTAATATAAACATAATCCACATATATATACTGTATATACACATTACTATGTCGTTTACACAAAATGATGTTTGAATGTATGAATAATTCCTCTTGAAAGGTGTTATTTTCAGTCTGCTTGCCCAGTGGATATTATTCTCTCCAGGACATCGATGACTTAACAGCTAAGCTAGTCATTTCCAATCCCACTGGGTAGCCCCTTTGGATACTTCAGGGTGATTAAATATTTAGTTATGTCATTGTTGGTTTTGGACTCCCCGAGCGCCGCCAGGACCGGACCGTTTAAGAACGCCAATTGGAGGGGCCCTGCCTTCTTCCCACGATCTTCATCCCAGTTTAATCAAGTCCAGTTCTCAATCAGAGGTGATTCTTTTCTTGGCTGGTGACCAGGCTGCTGTCACATTCCCAGACCTGCCTTCGCTCCCCTCCTAAGGCTAAAATACAGCAATGGCGTCGTAGCCGGTAAGAAGAATATACACCTCCTTTGAAGAGGGTCCCCAGGGTGGTCTGGCCCCTTCACACATATTGGCTATTGTCAGCAGAGCTTTCAATATGGGAAGTCTTAATAGGAGAGGAGATCTTAAATGGGTACATTGGGGGCAGCTTAAGTGTAATGAATGAAGAGATAGTTAGGCCAACCTTAGCAAAAGAGATTGGTGGTCTCTGTTCCTAGGGGCGATCAGCCATTGTTCCCATGAGTGAAGTCCTTTTTGTGGTTAAACAGAAGTTATTCATTCAGCAGATGCTTTTGCCTAAAGTTTGGAGTCAGGATTAGCCATCACCCAGGAATAGTAGGGTTTATGGGTCAAATGGTGATATATCTGCCTCCCATTGGATTCGAACCACCAAACAAGATGTGGAGTCTTACCCCACTGAGTGACCCCCCCACACCGTACCCTATTCAGTTAAAGACTGAGCAGTCTGCTAGCATTAAATTAGTTTAATGTTAAATATGTCATTTCAAGATAGGGATGACTGCGATGGGCTGGGCCCCCCAGCCTGGGTTGTTCCCCGCCTCGTGCCCGTAGCTTCCGGGATCGGCTCCGGACCCCCCGCGGCCCAGAAGGATAAGCGGTTTGGAAAATGGATGGATGGATGGATGGATGGAAGACAGGGATGGTGAGTGTGTCTATGAATTCAAACTCAATGCCCATAATCGGAAGGCCGCTGGTTCACATCCCGTGGCAAGCAGAGTGGTTTCACAGCTGGGCCCCTGAGAAAGGCCCTTAATCCCAGTTGCTCCAGTGACTGTCTGACCCCACTTTGTTAAATAATTGAAATTAAGTTTTGACATTTGTGTCTAATTTCTCAATGTCACCATCTAGGCCTGCTTTTTGTCAGCTCAAGCCATCATTGCAAAAATTCATTCACCGTAATACAATGTCACCTGTTAATCGCCCTCTTTGATTTCATTATTATGTCTGATTTCATTTTATTATCGTTCCCCAAGTAGTCATTCTTATTAAAGTATTGAATGGCATTTTAATGCTTCTTTGCCTAATGAAAAATTGCTTTTATGAAATGGCCGGCAATTTTCATTCCTACCTATCAGAAATGACACAGAATTTTTATTTTTACTAGACACTTTTGTTGAAAGTAACACACAATTGAGGGAAGCATGGGGTTAGAGCACAGGATCAGCCTTTGTCCAGAACACCTATAGTAGCTGGGGTTAAGGGCCCAGTAGTGATATGATTACTGAGCTGGCCATGGGATGTGAGCTCACAACCTTCTGGACACAGTCAAAGATCCAATCGGTTTTCTATTCTACCTGCCTTCTGATGAGCCACATCTGTCCTTGGTACTTACCTGAGATCAGGTGTGGCTCATTAGAAGCCAGGTAGGATAGAAAACCTACTGGACAGTAGCTCTCCAGGACCGGAGTTGGAGACCCCTGGTCTGCATAATCCTAAATCGCACAACCTGCGTAATTCCTCTTTAAGGCCGTTCCCACATCACATTTCTAAATGTCCGTGCAATTTTGTGCTGCTCCGCGGTACTTTTGACAATTATAGGATGGAGCTGGGAAGAGCCCCCCGTGCTGAATGGCCTGTTATTTTGAAATGCTCTTGCCCCGAGCATCAAAGCTCCTTTGTGCGGGCGCTGGGCTGTTTCGCCGACCCTGCTCGGGCCGTGGTGACAGCAGGGCTCCCAGACGGAGCACGGACCCCACAATGGCTCTTTGTGACATCCTGGGGTAGACAGTGCCCGTTGTGCAGCCCCTTTCAGCTCCTGCTCCCATTCAACCGTGGATTCGCCACCGGGCCGCATTCCTGTCTCTCAGCGGCCGTTCATCTACGCCGCGGACCCAGAGGACACGATGCTGGCCACGACATCAGCTCGCAAAACGATTCCCACAAACGTCGTTAACTGCACTTTTTACGATCTTATTTAAAGAACAACCTCAGAGCAAAACCCTTGTTCTTTTGCGACTGGTGTAGTTGAAATCGAATGTTCCCAGTCGAGTTCTTTATACGGAACACGGACGAACGTAAAAGCGGGAGGTAAAGCTGAAGGCGTGATTATAGTATCCGTTACTCTCTCAGCTTCCACCGACCGTGGCTTAAAAATGCCCCCACTGACAGAAGCGAGAGCATCTTCATGTTACATTCTTCGTACGCAGCAGAAGGGCTAAGTGTCGGCCCGTGGGGCTGATCTCTTATCAGATCACTCTTGCTCTCTGTCCTCTGTTAGGCAGACACACAAGGGTCGGCTTACGGAAAGGATGTTCTCTTTTAAAAGAACGACTCCTATTGTCAAGGGAAAGAGGGCCTTTAGTGTGCGAGGCTGTAAGCGACAGCAGACTGCAGTGCCAGTTGGTTTGATCTGAATGCTGGATAGGTAGCAGGTCTTTCCGAGGTTAATGCACTCTTCGTCTGTCCTGAGTGCCAGGACATCCCAGGACTGGAAGCACACTTGACCGGCTGCAGCCACTTGGCCGCTCGGTTCATTCCCATCTCTGTAGCTCCTCCAGGACCTTCTCACAGTGCCTCAGCTCTCCGTACACATGGCACACGTACTGACATTGAGTCTGGATGTTAGAAGTATGATATAACAACTGTTTGGGTCTGGCGAATGAGCGCCTTCCATGGACGTTACCACAATGGTCTACCTGCCATTTCTTAAAAGCGTGATTCTTCGTAATCCCCTTACGTGCCGTAAAACAGGAGTTAGTGTTACGAAACCTCACTGTGCAAATCGGAGATACCCATGAGGGCCTTACACAAGGGCATGCAAATCGCTTTTAAAATGCAGACGGGTGCCCTAGAAAAAAGGATCGGAACCAAAACTCAGCTTAGTATTTTCTGAATCGTAATCGTGATTCAGGCTGATGATCAAATAAACGATCATTCTTATTCATGCTTACACTGCCCCCTACTGTTGTGGAGTTGCAAATGCTCTGTAACATTTAATAGGAAAGACCACATTTGTAATTATATAATAATGTATATGACAATGCTTTACATTAACTGCACCTTCATAATGCATTCATAATGTGTTCATAGAACATTCATAAGCAGCATGTACATTAACATCCTAACACACCTTAACAGCTTTAATGTATATTAATAACACACATTATATGATTATAATAAACAATGATATGATTGTATAATGTTTTTTATTAATGTATACTACAGGTATGTTAGGAGGTTAAGGTATACTTACATGCTGCTTATGAATGTTCTATGAATGAATTATGAAGGTACACTGAATGCTCTATGAATGCATTATGAAGGTACACTGAATGTTCTATGAATGCATTATGAAGATGCACTGATTGTTCTACAAATGCATAATAAAGGCATTAGGAAGTTGGCTATTGCAGTTAATGTTAAGTGTTAATATTTATATTATATATGATAATGTATTTCATATACAACAATATATAATGTAACACTATGAGTCATTATATAATAAAAAGGGAAAAGGAAAATGGTTTGTTTGGAATTTGGACTTTCACAAATGCACCAAGTTGGTCTTCCTATCTAAATGGGGACAGTCCATTCATTTCTATGGGAAAAACCCTAATCCCAATCACGACACCCTTAACCCCTACCCAGCCCTAACCTTAACCATAAGTAACCATAACCCAAATAAAAGACTTTTGGCATTTTTACTTTTTTGATTGCATTTACAGATTTTTATAAAACTACATCCAAATGGGGACCTCAAAAGATGTCCCCAAAAGTAGGGAAATTTCAGGTTTTACTACACTTTGGGCACAATTTGGTCCTATTTATCTATGCAAACCCACACACACACACACACACACCAGGTCAGCAGAGAGTTTAGGGGAAACAGAGAATGAGTTGTGGGGGAAATTGCATTTCAGAGTATTGTAGCCCCACTTCAGTCCAATTTCCATTTAAAACCAGGGTTTTCATAGCCTCCGGGAGAGTAAGAAAAAGCGTTTGGAGCCGATAGCCAATAGGGTGAAACCAAACGGTGGGAGAGCTCATATGGGATTAAAGAGAATTTAGGGCCGTGTGATGGCAACGCCAGAGCAGTCAGCCAGACAGAAGGTACAGTAAGAACACAGCCATTAACAATGCGTTCTGAACTTAACTGAACAACCCCTGTGTTGGGTCCTTCTCTTTCAGATTGGGGGTCCTGTGTGCGTACGCAGCCAATCAGAACCTCAGCTCCCACGTCAAAAGCATGAAGAGGCTAGTCGACACCAACATGAGAGACCTCAAGCTGTTTGCCAATGACATTCCAGTGGTAATGCGTCCAGCCTATGGAGATTCATATGATTTGTATAGGATGTATTATAAATATGCATAATGTAAGCGGGTGGGGTATTCAGGCTTAAAATGTCAGTCTAATGTTTGTTTTCGTCAACTCATTTGCATATTGTTAGCCCCGCCTCCCACGCTAGCCTATCACTGACTTTCTAACACACCTTCTCCTCCCTTCAGTAGATGTTTCATATGTATCTGTTTGTCGTCTCGACCACAAACACAGTCCATAATAATCAGCAGCATCTTTGTGGATGTATGTGTGTCCGGTAAAGGGAGAGCGGGAAGTTGCTAGGTTGTTAGTATCGTGTATTTATCAGAGACTATCCATGTACTTTTTATAGAGATAAATTCTCTGTTCCTCACTTGTCCCTCTGAAAATGTGTTCCTGTATCTTAGTGGGTACCTTCTTTTGTTCCTCTTCATTGACTGCACTGCTTGGCTGAACTGTTTGTTTCTGTTTCAGCAAATTGACTATGTTACTGCGCAGTACACTGTAGTCAAGAAAAAAGTCCTCTCTGACCTTGACAGTAAGTTCAAAACAGCGTCTTTATGAGCCAGTGAGCCCCCCTCCACTTCCAGATTGCATTCTGATGCTTTATATGCGCTGGCCAGATCAGCCTGATCGCCTTGTTTGTCTTAAAGACTGTTTTTATCAGGTCGGTCATTTCAAATGTTCTCAAGTTGACACTTGAGCCTTCTCGGGAGTCCCAATGCATTTTTAACTGAAAGCATATCGCTTGACTTCTGGGAATTTTCTCATTAAACTGGCTAGTAACTGACTGAAAGAGGTGATTCAAATGGAAGGATGCATTCTGTTCATGGTGTTTTTTGTCCAGTATTTGAAAGAAATACCTTTTGCCTTTAAATAAATACATTTTAGTCATTTTGTATTACAAATAAAAATTATTATAAGTGTATTCCATAATATGGCCAACATACTGACAAAAATATTTCTTGTTTTGATATGTAAATTTTAATAAAAAGTTTACACATTATTGCATTTAAATTTCCATTATGACTAAATAATTTCTGCCTCCACAGTGTTGTCTGTACTGGTGCTTGATAACATTTGTGGTCTCTTTTGGTTGTTCCTTCATGATATTCTCACAGTTACGTTTCTGGAAAGGATCCGGCAACTTAATCATGATAAGCTGATGCCCCATTTTGAAATGTTTTTACCATGTCTTTCACATAAGAAAAAAAACTCTTTTGTTGCATATTTTCTGTTGCAGCGTCAAAAGGTCTTAAAATTCTTTTTCAGACTTACAAACAAGCTTTCCGTATGCGGTCCTGCTGCAGACGAGAGCAATGTTCATTTTTTTTCTTGACAGTACCGCTCCCAGAGACTCAAATGAAGAATTTATACTGTACCTATTTTATTATACCTGTTTGCTTGTATGCCTAGATTCATTTATTCCACAGTGACATGAACCATTATGATATTATTCTGGATCCTAATAGCGTCTGACACAACAGCGTTTACAAAGAATTATATTATCATCATACTATCTATAAATTTTAGTCAAAATGCATGTTCAGATGGGCGGGAAGCAAATATCTGTTTGATAAGTGATAACTGGTAATATGTTATGCGTGTTTAATAAAAAAATTTAAATGTCATGTGACATCATGTGATACTCCTTACCTCGTTAATGCGATTATGCTCATCTCTTCACACCTTCAGACATTGGGGCCTTGCTTGGTAGTGGGATTCACAGTCAGCTTGGCAAAGAGGTCCTCCCTGCCCTCGATGGCGCGCTGAGCGTGACTGAAGGTACGGCCACAGCTCTCTCACACCGTCCTGCCGGAAGTTTCTGAGGAGAATGTGCCCTTTCCCGCTAAAACTTGCCAGTATAGCATGTTTGTAGCATGTTACATAGTGAAGGGCTCCTTATGTTTTTCCATGCATCACACCCCTCATACAACTTCTAGTACGATAAAGACACGGCTGCCGATGCCATGTAAGGAAAACTCACCACTTTGGCTATTTACAGTGTTGGGCAGTTCAGGTCCAAAACCTGCAAATCCAGACCAAGATTTAGTTTCTACCAACCAGTTGAGCATAAAGAGTCACAGTCACTGAGTACTCAGCTGGTTGGTAGAAACAAAAACTTGGTCTGGATTTCTATCTTCTGGACCTGAACTGCCTATATAGCAATATAAATCTAGTTATATAACAGGTTTTATGTTGCGGTCATGTGTACCCATATCAGTTTTAATGTACTAGAAACAACCTCATACGTGTCTTGTTTTATTAAAGAGTATTTATCCATTTCAAAATATGTTCTTCTACGTTTAGTTTTAAAGTTCACATCAATACTATTATAAATGAAAGGTGGAATATAGTTGTGCTGATGATTTTACTGATGAAGATACATTAGAAAACCTTGTTCTGAGTTGAAATGCAATCTTAGAAAATCAGTATGACTTTTATTTAACATGGGGGGTGTCAGCAAGGGTGATCAATTTAAATGCAATCGAGGCGGAATTGCTCTTGCAAGTCACTGCAGTTTTGCAAGCAGAAAGTAGCACATAATAACTATTGCTGGATTTTATTTAAGTAATTATTCCTGGCATTTTTTTTTTGTCATTAAATTTATTGTATTTCATTTCTGCCGTTACGGTTCATCCATTTCTATTTCATGTTACAAGTTAAAAATTCTGTGCTTAATATTGAAATGTTGTATTTGTGTATTATGGCTGGTTAATTCAACACTAGCATAGTGATTCAGGTGTTAGTTTACCAGTTATTTTGTATCTTATGTAGACGGTGTATTTCGAGAAATTTAGCCTATATCAGTGTGAACGTATCATGTATAAGAGGATATCATGTTAATCAAATGTAAACACGATGTGCTGTATTTCTGTTGTGTTTGTGGGTGTGTGTGTAGACGGTAGATTGCTTAGCTCCAATCTTTTAGCGTAACGTGAGAATGCTTTCTTGGTGCAGCCTTTTGCAATACTCACGGTAGGCCTTGTATACTCACGGTAGGCCTTGATACTCACGGTAGGCCTTGTCCTCTTATTCTGACATTTAATTTCTGTAATTTCCTCTGCCCCATTCCACTCCGTTGCACTGAAAGCCACAGTGGAAAGGACACACAAAGGTATCGGTGACTGCACTTCCATCGAGTGCTGTGACCTGTCAACTTGACTCGTAGGCTTGGGCGGTATCAGTTTTTTCATACCTTCTGAACAGTTCACCCCAGTGTATGGGGTACGGTATATTTGAGGGGGGAAAGAAAAGTAAATCATTAGGCTACTGAGCCTAAACCAAGGATGCTAACTTTGTTCAGCTGGCTGGCATGAGATTTTCAATTTGAGACAAGTCTGCACACGCATTTAAATGTATGTGACAGATTTATTACCTTGTAAACAGTCTGTAGGGTTTGCCAACTATCCCAGCGCTTTTAATGTAGCAAATTTTAGGTTTATAGCGGAATAATATAGATTTGCCGCAAGATTTCTTGCGTTATCGTGAGTCTGAAAGCGGGAGTGTCACGCCAGATGCACAAGAGTTGGCAACCCTTCCTTAATGGGCTATCGAAGTTGAGTGCTTGGGCAACGAGGAGACGACTCCTTGTTAAAGACATAAAAAGATAACGCTTTGTTTAGTGATGTCACTGTCCGATCTGCGGCCACATCTGCACTAGATTCGTCTCCCGCCCATGCGCCAACAATTTACAGCCCATTTTGTTTTTGCGGAATTACCCTACGTATGCTTGTTATTCTTTGACTTTTTTATTGATCTGAAGCTCCAATCGGCGCTAACGTTGTGCCCTACAATATATCACCTCAATATGACATCTCTATATCAGCTAAGTAGAAAATGGAGCGTCTGTGTTTTTGACGGTATTAAATATAATACCTTCGGGATATACCGTAATAACGTCATACCGCCCAAGTCTACCGCCATGCTTTTGGTGCTGTGTTTGCTTGTGTTGTGTTCAGCTGTTTTCTTATCCAGGTCAGATAGAAAGTAACCAAATGCATTGTGTACATAAGCAGAGGGTCTGTCTTCAGCTGCTGCCGCCTAAATATGCGTTAATTATAGTGCCCTTCTACTATTTAGCTTTCTTCCACTTTACACCGTATGTCATGATGATTCAGCCTAACTAAAACTCATCACTGTCAGTATTAGTAACCGTGCACAGTAATCACAATTAATTGATTCTAGTGGGTCGTTAAAAGAACATACTTTAACAAATAAAATTATCTCATAATAAAAAGTATAACATATTTTTGTACACAATTTTGTACTGTATGATTCTATAAATATAAATAACTGTTTTTAAAGGTAAATGTAAATAACTAATTATATAATATATAAATAAAATTATGTAACTATTTTTAAATCAGGGTTTATGAGCCTTGTTTTCAGTGTTGTGGTGTTGGAGCTGGGAGCACAGTGTGAAAAGTTAAAATACCTCAGAATAAAAGTAGCCTTTTTTAGTCCAAAAGCAAAGGGCAGGTTTAGATAAAAGGACGGCATGTAGCACGGTCACTGAGCACCCGGCCCAGTAGATGGAGAGTTTCCAGTCTCAGGACAGACCTGCCATCACACGTAACACACTGAATGACTAGAACAAGAAAAAGAACAAAATCCGAATGTGACTTTCCACTTACACTTTAGCTAAGAAGCTAAATGTAAAGTAAAATGATAAAGACGTGGTAATAGTGTTCTTGTGGTGGCTGGCCTGTGTTGCCTCTTGTTTGTTCCCTTGTTTGTTCTCGTTTGTGTTTCTGTAGCGTCTTACCTTCATGTGTGTGGGTTTTTTTTTGAAAAAGGCCCTGAGATATCAGCATTCTGAAATAGCAATGGCGATTGTAGGATTTGTTTTAAGGTAGGGGGGCTACTGTTAGAGGGGCCGTAATTCATACATACTCTCAGAAAAAAAAGGGTACAAATTTTCACCTTTGCTTGCCACTGGGGTTGTACCCTTGTAATTGTATCTTTTAAGGTACAGAAATACTCAGACTCCGAGTAGCATCCCAAAGGTACAAACAGCATTAATGTACCATCAATGGTACAGAGATGTTCCTCAGAGTCCATTTCTGCACCTTAAAATGGACAATTACCTACAACTAAGAGTACAATTGGCAGATCCTTTAGGGTACAGCCCCAGTGACAAGCAAAGGTATGGATTTTTACCCTTTCTTCTGACAGTGCAGAGAGACCAACCTTATTATTAGCCAATGATGTGTTTTGAATCGGTGAGTGGCAGGGGAGGGGGCACTCCTCGCCATTGACCCCTTGCACTTGGGGCAAATGAGGCTGCTTCAGCCAACAACAGGACCTAACCCCCCCACCTGTAACTATAGCTGATTGGACATATGGATTCTAATCCAGATTTGTGGCTAAAAGGCAGGCCACAGCAGCTGGAAAATACTTTTGAAGTACTTTTTAAGTACTTTTGAAGTAATTGTTACTGAACTAACAAACATGAAACAGAAGGGTGGCTGCAAAATGTGATTTAATTAAATTTACATAGAAGCAGAGTCTATGCCGAAGAGAGAGTGAGAAATAACAGCATATAAATTAAGCTACAGACCGCTGAATAAATGTCTTTGAAGTTCTCCCAGGGGAGAGGCTGAGTCCAGCTGACTGTTGGGTGCAAGAATTTTAGGGGAACGTTATTCAGCATATCTCCATGTCGCACAGCTATGCAGGAGACCAGGGAGGCGCTAGAGAACGTGAGAACGGCACTGCACACCCTGCAGGACGGCACCGGCAAGCTCCAGGCAGAACTCAACGGTATCCGCTCTAGTCTGAGACACACCCTAAATGACCCGGCCTGCTTCGACAGTGCCGTCTCACACACCTGCAGCAACGTCCGCGGCACGCTCAGCCAGCTCGTCATCGGGGCCAACTTCTCCGCGGTCAGTGCCCCGCCCCCCCTCCCCATGCCACAGCCTCCAATGGGGCGCTCCTTGTCGCCACAGCTAGAAACGTGTTGACCAATAGTTGTAAGGCCAATGTTCTCATTCTGAATTTCAGTTGCCAGACGTAAGTGGAGAACTTGCCCGTGTGGACGGCGTTCTCAAGACTGACCTGAGCAACATTGTTCAGAAGGTTAGTATTCTTCTCAAACGAACCCATTGTGTTCAATCCACTGACCTCCAGTGAACTCCTCAGCTGTCAGGTCTCGCTGTGGTCCAGTCTACTGGACATCTACAAACTGTGGTCTCACATCCCATAGTCCTGTCACGGCCAGTCTTATCCACCCCAGAACTATGTCTGTATGCAGGTTTTGGGGTAACTTTTAGGTCAGCCGTTCAAACCCAGGTATGAGGACTCTTCAGCCGATCAGTCTGCTAATTAGTGATTGGCCACCCCTGCCGTAGTCAATCGTCAAGTATTTTTCACATTTTTTCAGAATCGAGATTAGTCGGCTCTAATTTTATGCTCATGTCAGAAAATGTTCCTAGTGTTCCCCGACTTATCACTGTCTTTGTTTGCTGCCCCCCCCGCAGGGGTATTTATCATTTAACGACACCCACTCCCTGGTGAAGCAGCAGACGAAGGATGTGGTTTCAGGTATGTGCAGGTGGCTGTCGACACAACGAAAAATGCAACAAAGAAAACCGTTTTGTGTGAGGCAGCCAGGCATGAACCTCAGCAACTGTCATTCAGGTTTAAGATAAGAGCCACTTTGTTATTTAAGAGCCACTTTATTATTTATTGTCATTATGCGTCAGTACATTAAAATTGTGTTGACATCTCTACTTGTGCAGCAATTGTCAACACAATGACAATACAAAAGCACTGATTGAAGCTAGGCAGTGCAACAGGTAATTCCACTAAAGTGCAGACAATGGAGTTACTATATACAAAATGTAATTATGTATATTTTCTTTTCTGATGAAAAAATGGCTAAAATATTTTATAGCTTCAACACCATGCTGCTTTCCCGTGTATCCGGGTCTTTCTTTGATCCCCTATGGTCTTATATTAAAGTCAATACTTGTCTCTTGCTATCCTACGTGTAGCCCTTCCTCATAAGTGAGACTACATCAAGTGGTTCTGACGTCTGGCCCCCAGATTTTTGTAGTGTGAAGTGGCCAGGACACCGCCCCCCCCCCCCTCCCCCAGGGGCACATCAGCCGCAGAAACGCTGGAAGTGCTCTGTTCTTCCTGAGCTCGAGGTTCTCCGGTGCAGGAGAGTTCCTTAATGAGTTGGCCCCGTTTCCTTCAGTCAGCGCCGACCCCTTTGGTCTGTCTTCTCTAGACTCACAGACACAAAAGAGGGAGAAGTATGGATGCTAAATGCTCCCGTGGGCCGGCGCCCCTCTTCTCTGTAGGCCTCAGCTACAGAGTCCTTCATCCTACCATGCAATCCTGTAGAATCCCTATCAACTCCCCTTGCTTTTCAGGTTTATTACTCTTATTACTTTACTGATGTTACAAACGTCATTGTTAGTTTTTTCACAATTGACACTATGACACATATATACTACACAATTACTATTCTATTTTAAGCTAGGGTAAGCTGTATATTTTGTAAATACACATGATACATATTTTATTGTCTTCCAACGCTACTGTGTCATGTGACTACTTTGGTCCAATCATGATCGAGTGATTACAATGGGGGAGGGTAAAGGCTTAAGATGGATAATAACCCCTATAGTGTTCCAAATTGTTGGTGTTTAATAAGACCCCCCCCCCACTCCAAAAAAAAAAAAGCCGAAGTATGAACTGAACCATGGCTCAAGAATCCAGGTCTGAACCGAGCTGTGGGTTTGTAGAATCGTAACGTGCCTAGAATTTATGCTAATGACTTTCAGAAATAGATGCAATCCTTGTCGAAGTAGAACCAACCTTCAGCAAACCGCCATCCTGTTTCTTCATTTCTACATGGTCCCTCAACCCTGGACATTATAATGCCGATTGATATTGGTTCAGATTCCAGATCAAGGTTCCATTTGTAACTGCTACTTCCATCACCCTGTGTTGAGTGAGTAATACGTATCTCCCCACCGCAGGTGCCCAGGACATTCTGGATGGCATCAGCACCAACATCGCCTCCTTCTCCAAGATGTTCCCCATCCACACCTCCATGTACAACTTCACCGTCTACCTCACCCAGAGCCAGGTGAAGATCGAGGTCTTCTACCCACAAATCGAGCTGATGGACTTCTACAGGTACCAGTAACATCTCAGCCCAGGTTTTATGGGCTTACAGAAGGTGTCCCACAACCTCTCAGAGCCCAGAACATCTCTGAGGGTCAGAGATGTCTGCACCTGATTCTGCCTGTGATCAGTATGAATTTCCACTATACTGCCCCACAGCGGCAAAACACACCAACAGCATATTTGAATAAAAAGCGCATTATGACCGAAATCAGTTCATTAGGCTCTGTTTTAATTTGTGGGAAAATATCTTAATTCAGCTATGCTCAGTTTTGAACAAAATATTATCATTTCCCTACCTACTGCACATACGGACAAACTGTCTAATATCTTTCTCAGTTGCTGTGTAGTTACTGTGTTTTGCCTTTGTGTGGCAGTATATACTTGTCATGTGAAATCTCACGCATTTTATAAATAATGTACATAACCTGAGTATAAATGTTGCATTATTACTGCACGAAAATAAACACACACACACACGTATCATCAGCTTGCCATGTTTACTAAGATCTGAATCTCCTGGCCTTTTCTAATGGCTTTAACAGATTCTTAAATGTTTATTTTTCTTTATTTTTGCAGATGGACGGGCTGCATTGCTATTTGCTGTTTGCTGGTGCTCATCCTTTCCTTTAATTTCCTGGGCCTGCTCTGTGGTTACTGTGGTTACGACAAGCACGCCTCGCCCACCACCCGCGGCTGCCTCTCCAACATGGGCGGGAACCTGCTTATGGCGTGAGTGACATCATGCCCCACGCTGCCAGGGGCGTGGCCACGCCGCAAGCCGGCCAATCAAAGCTTCCCTGAAGCCTAGCGATCTCAGTATACCCGTCCTGTCCCTGCTGATCTTGTGTGGTCATGTTTCCAAATTTTGTAGTATTTTTTTCCTTTACGAATCTCTTAATTTATTGATCCCTCATGTGGAAAGTCTCCTTCTGTCTACCTCATCTTGGTGCCCATGACGCTGGGGGTTAAGGGCCTTGCTCAAGGACCCGCAGATATGACTAGTCAGCCATGGCAGGGTTCAAACTGATAACCTTCCGATCCCGGGCACAGAGGCTGGGCCACGCACTCCAACAATACAATGGAAATGTATCTCGATGTGCTTGTTACTTTCTAAACACATCCTGCGACCAGGTTTGTCAGATGGGCATGGATACCCTGGCAAATTCAGAGGCCCCAAGGTGACATTCTGTCAGGGGTTCTAGAATTTCTAGCCACACCCCTTCCCGTGACAGTCATGTGAATTTTAATTTATAGCAAGAGAAAAACACCAAAAATTTAGGGCGAATCTTTCTTCATTTTTTCATGTGTCTCAGTGGTGCTGGCTTCAGTTTCATCTTTTCCTGGGTGCTGATGGGGGTGGTGACCGTCACGTTTGTTGTCGGGGGCAACGTGGAGAAACTCCTATGCGAGCCCTTTGAGAACAGGGAACTCTTCAAGGCAAGTGAAAGCGAAAGTCGATGGTGTACAGCGACCAGTGCATTCCGGAGATGCACAGAGATGTCCCACACATAGAAACATTGCTCTGATTTATCTGGTATTAGTGGCATTTATAGATTTTATAACACTTCTCTGTGCAGGTCATAGACGCCCCATATGCGGCCAATCCAGACATGAAGAACTTCCTCCCAGGGATGCTCTTCCAGAACCCTCAGATCAACCTGACCCTAGAGAGTGTCTACAGGTCACTTTTCATTTTTTAATAGTCATGGCTGGAATTGAAGTTATAGCACTTGCCAGCAGGTGGCAGCAGAGGAGCTTTCATATATTTTGTTCTTGCGATGCATCGTTGCCTGTTTGTACCTGCATGTTTCTTTTGGTAGTAACTGCAAAGAAGACAAGGGTGTTTTCTCTGCACTGAAGCTGGACAACATTTTCCATGTGAACAGGTTTTTGAACTCCAGTGTGGTGAGTCTGAATAGAGTCCCTGCGTAGAGTCCCTGCGTAGAGTCTCCATTGTTCCATGAGCACACTGATGGACAGGCAAAGCCAGATGAACCTTTTATAAACCAACCTGCATCTGCACACCTGGGGTTCGAGCCTCCTCCGATGTTTGTTCCATGCTGTTTTAAGCTGGTTCTCCTCTCTCCCAGTACACCAGGGACATGGCCAGGGTCTTCGAAGACGTCAAAGTAGACCTGAAGGGTATCGTCCTGCTCGAGCCGGCAGGAAGGCAGAATCTTATCAATTTCGCCAACGCAGGTGTCGGTGAGATCAACTACGCTGCCTTCCTGGCAGAGGTAACCAGCCTTCATTTTCATTTCCCCTGTGGGCGGTCCTCCTCTTTCTACATCCTCTGGCTGATCTATGATTTGCAAGCAGAGTATAGTCTACTCTGCAAGCACCGTCTACTATGCTCTGGTAATCTGTGTAGGCACATAATGGTGAGGAGATGAGCGTAATTACATGGGATTTTGATTATACTCCTGCTCAGAAGGGGATGTATCTGTAAGGTATGAGCACGCTCTGTTCTGTTCTAAATTTCTGCAATGACATGCTCTGCATTTCTTACAGGTCAACAAAGGTGTGACGAGGGTGGATTTGCTGGCATTTGCCAGCAAACTGGAAGCTCTGGCCGACGAGCTGGTGCGTTTTGAAGATTATTAAAATAATTAAAACTAGCTTTTTTAGATTTAGAATTAGAATGAACTTTATTGATCTACAGCAGCGAGCATGTACAGCACAGACAAGATATGAGACAGCATGTAAATTAACAGGGCAAATTAATTGAATTCAGAACCATGTCTCCATTGGTATATTCAGACTATTAATTGTATTTTATGAATATCTTGTTTGGTACTTTTTCAGAGCTCATTGTTGGTTCTGGAAACAGTCGAGACCTTGATTACATGTTGAGAATTGAGGCTTTTGCAGAAGCACAGGAGAATAGGCTGGATTCAGCACCAGGTGAATGGAAGTGAAGGGCTTGATATGGCTCTCTGTTCTATCTCCACTACAGCCACGGGGGGCGCTAGAAAATGCCCTGAAGGGCCACGCCACCATCGTCCGGCAGATCCACAGCCAGCGGGTGGTTCCCATGGAGCAGGCCATGGTAGGCTCTTCATATGCTTGAGGGAGTTTTATTTACACAAAAATGTTCTGAGGACAGAACGAAAAATGATTGGCTCAGAGAGATAATCAATCAGATTGTAGATGAGGCAAGACCAAGACATCTGATTGATTGGTTGGTCCCACCTCCTCTAGTTGTTTGGACCCACCTCCTATACAATCTGATTGGTTATCTCTCTGAACCAATCATTCTTCATTCTGCCCTCATTTTTATGTAGAACTCCAATGAGTATTTATATTATCCGGCTTGGGGACTCGACCTGTAATGAAATGCACAAGCTAAATGCTCGCTTTTCAGAGTCCATCTCCCTGTATAAAACAGTCCTGTGCTGTTCCAGGTGCTTCTCTGTGACATCATGACCTGAACCCTCAATTCACATCCTTTGAAATTGTCTGAAATACTTATTCTGTGCTCAGCAGTCGGTAACAGTGGCCTGCCAACAGCACTGCAATTGAAATGAGCGGGAACTATATCATTAGCCTCAGTAACAATTGTGGCAGCGCACAATGTATCTTCAATGCATTATGTCCGCACCGAATGGAGCCCCAATACACAAATAAAGTTCAGTGTGGTTTTAAAGTCTAACTTTAAAGTCTAACTCAGCATCATGAAATGCACCAGCAGCTGCTGATCTACGGGCCTGTCAGCCTTATCTGTTCTCAATTTCCTTCACCCCGTCGACTTCCTTTTAACGGCTGCCGGGAAGTATGTTAGAGCGAGGGTAAGCATGTTTCCCTTGTAAGTGTCTGAAACTGGACAAACATTATCTGTCCCCGTCCGTCCTGTAGCCTGTGATTGTGTTTCAGCAGAAAGCTCCGGAGTTCCTTACCTTAGTGGAACACTGCACTGGTTTTGCTGGTTTTGATTGATCCTAATCATTACTGGTTTTGATTGATCCAAATCAAAAAAATCATTTATAATCAATCATCATAATAATACTGTATATGTTACTAGTCATACATTCTTTCCACTGTTTATTTTTTATACAATCTTTTATTTTCTTTTTTCATAGTATGCGTATATATGAATATAGTAATAATGTTTTGTATCATTATCTCATTATAGTGGTTATATTACATAACAAAAAAGATCCATAACACTTTATTAGGCATTCCTAATGCATTTCATTATCTACGTAAAGATATAAACTTATATTAGAAATTTTTGTGATTAAATATATCATTGAAATGTTATGTGGTAACGTGTGGATTGTATGTATCTCATTATCATTGTATATGTCTGCAAACACAGATGTTCATGTTATTTTGGTATCTTACTCCTTGTAGTTCTGTTACATTTTAATGAGTCATGATCCACTTTGAACTATTAGTACCCCACATCTCCAAAAACACCAGAGCGATCTCATATCCACAGGTCTCCTAAGCATTCATGGTTACATTTTGCATATACAGTATTTCACTCTGGGTGTAAACCAGTATGTGAGGGTGTGCACCAGTGTGTGCATGTGTACACTAGTATGTGAAGGTATGCACCACTGTGTGAGCACATGCACCAGTGTGTGAGCGTGTGCACCAGTGTGTGAGCATGTGCTCTGCTTTCTGTCATAGAACACACTGAGTCAGAGCATTGTGACACTGCAGAGGACAGCCAGCGACCTCCCTGTAAGTCTGAAGTCCGCAGCCTCCGTTAGCTTCAGGACCAAACAACATCACACAATCTGATTGTCTGGTCAGTTAAACTGACCCTCATTCCATGTTCACCCCCTAAGGAGCCGTGTGTAATGAGCTCATTCAAAAGAACTCTTGGATGAGGTCCATTAGACCCTCGGATGCCTTGTTGCTAGCTATCTATAGAGAAGTAGACTGGTAACTTGGGAAAAATGTTAAGATGTTCCTGTAAGTAGTAAGTGCAAGAGATGGGTTTTGTGGGGCAAAGAGCTTGACTATCTTTCCTCAAAAATAAACCTGTACATCATCTGGCTTTAGGGACTCTCATATGTTATTGTCAAATCCTGTTTGTTTATGCTTAGGCAAAAATCACCAATATCCTGAACGCTATTGATGCGGCAGAATATCTGATTACCCACAACGCAACGCAAGTGGTCAAGCAGGTAAAATAACTAAAGCAGGGGTGTCAAACTCCAGTCCTGGGGGGGGGGGGGGGTATCTTAATTCTTTCCCTGTTCCACCATAAATGATTCAGCTCAAGAGCTGTGTGGTAATTAGCACAAGGAGTTGAATCAGGTGTGTTAAATGAGGGGAATTCACTAATTAACACGGTTCATTGTTCTCTTCTCATCTAGGAAACCTCAAAGTATATCCTGAACATTGTCGGCTACTTTAAACAGTATATAGAGTGGGCCAAGAATTCAGTAAGTAGTTCTTGGAGAACTTCAGTTCATAAATAACATCCCTGACTTTCTATCCTGAACTTTCACACTGTGTGCAACTTTACCACCTGCAGGTGCTTGTACCATGTTAGCAACATCAGCACATTATTTATGTACAGCAGTGTTTCCCAATCCGGTCCTCAGGTAGCCATTGACAGTCCCTGCTGGACAGTCCACATTTTTGCTCCATCCCTGCTCCCTGCTAGACAGTCCACATTTTTGCTCCCTCCCAGCTCCCAGTAGGGACAAAACATATGGACTGTCTAGCAGGGAGCTGGGAGGGAGCAAAAATGTGGACTGTCTAGCAGGGAGCAGGGAGGGAGCAAAAACGTGGACTGTCTAGCAGGGAGNGTGGACTGTCTAGCAGGGAGCAGGGAGGGAGCAAAAACGTGGACTGTCTAGCAGGGAGCTGGGAGGGAGCAAAAATGTGGACTGGCTAGCAGGGAGCGGGGAGGGTGCAAAAACATGGACTGTCTAGCAGGGAGCTGGGAGGGAGCAAAAATGTGGACTGTCTAGCAGGGAGATGGGAGGGAGCAAAAACATGGACTGTCTAGCAGGGAGCTGGGAGGGAGCAAAAACGTGAACCGTCTGTGAATCCCTCAGGATCAGATTGGGAAACACTGACATACATAATTTATTATATTGTCTTGATTGTCCTTCAATGTTTCGCACAATATGCCAAAGTAAATTCCTTGCATGTGGACGTGCTACATTGCTTTTCAGATTGAACTAGATGTGGGAGTCTGCAAACCTTTGAGCAACGTCATGGACACTGCCGATATCATCGCCTGTAGCTTCATAGCAGACTCAGTGGTGAGATACGGCATCTTGTGACAGTGTTCAGCTCTGCGGGGGCTGTTGGGTCGGAGGTGGGTGGGCGTGATACTGCACTCAGTTGCAGTTTGTTCATCACCCACAAGAAATCCCAAGACACGTCCTCATCCATGGACAAAACGGAGAAATGCGGCCTCTGGGTAGGGGCTGAAAGGCAGACCAGCGGCGGTTCATGTCTTAGAAAGCCTGTCAAAGGTGTGGCGAGGGGATTTTGCGAGGGGAATGGAAATGATTTGGGAACTGAGTCACGACACAATTATGTTGCTGCAAGGCTTAAATTCTTATCCAGTCCGACCGAGTGCCAAGTGAGGCTGACAGCGTCTGGTAGAATGGAAGTACCTCCTTTCTGCAAGGATCAAATAACCAACAAAAGCTTACTTATGTGGAGACTGCAGACTCGAAAAGGAGCTGCTTAGAAAGTTTCGCCTGATGTTACTGCAGGGATCGAGCTCTGGTCTTTCAGGAAGGAAAAAGATGATATGCACGCTTTTTGCACTCATATCTATAGCACACCACAGTCCTGGGGAAAAGCTAAAAAATTATTTAGTTAATGAGAATTTTTGGGTTGATCTGTTGACAATGAGAGCAAGTTTAAGAAAGCGTTGTGTGTGAAGACCGGAGCGACACACCTGTATAAACTCCACTTCCTTCTCTATCTCCCAGAATGCCTTTTGGTTTGGGCTGGGCTGCTGTACAGTACTCCTCATACCCAACATTATACTGTCCGTAAAGCTGGCCAAATTCTATCGCCGAATGGACACTGAAGATGTATATGATGAGTGAGTATTGCAGATCCGCGTCTGGAAGCGTCAGATCGGACTGGATTTTCCTTCTTCTTTCTCTTGATCTTTCCTATTCCCATTTTCTCCCTCTCACACCCCCTGCCCCAACTTCCGTTTGGTCTCTCCCATTCCTTATTTCCCCCTTTTCCCTTTTTAATGGCCCCTTCCTTGCATGCTTACCACTAATCACCAATTCCCCACTTTCCTTTGGTTTTGCCCTTAATCTGTCCTCCTGTTTCTTCTCCTTCTCTAATGCCTCTCTCTTCACTTCCTCTCCCCATCTATTTCTGTTTACCTTCTTCCTTATCTGTTTGATTAATCCCTGAAGCACCCCCTCCCCGCTTCTATCCGAACTCTTCCCTCTAATATTTGATAATAACCCACATCCTCCTCTCTGTTCTTTTCAGTTCCTCTGTCTCAGGGACTTGGCACTTCACCTTGTGATAACCATTCCTGCCCTTTCCATTGCGTTTCGTCTTTCACAACTTACTTTCCGCATCTCTAGCATCATGTGATGCACTCTGCACTTTGAGGACAGTTAATACATTTTACTAAAAAAAAAAACACTACCGAATGATGACATCCAAGCCACTTTATGGAACATGTTGCTGCCGAGATCTTAATTAGCAATCCAGAAACGCTCAGTGCATTTATTGTACATGTAATGGTATTTTTTCCTTCTTTATGTCTTGTAGTGTGACAATACCCATGAAAATGTAAGGTTTCACCCCCATTTTATGTCCTTTTTCTAAATTAAATCCAGCTTATCACCTGTCATTCCTGGATATTCTCCGCTTATGCTAAGAACTTTGTAATGCTACTTTCTTACACCTTTCTGGTGCTGCCTTTAGCCTTAAATCCTTGTCAAATTTGTGCTTTGTGGAGATTTTTTTTCCCTTTTTTGCTTTATTTGCGCAAACATTTTAAAACGACAGAAACAAAGAACCTAACCATTAAAAAGAAGTATAAGTCTATCATGTTTATTTGATTTGTATCACTTTATTTCATATCTAAAAGAGCATTTTAAGATGTATACTTGCCTATTTACACATTTATATGCACATCTGTACAGTCTGTACGTGTCATTGTAGAACATCAGGCCACATTGCCACTTAGTTCCATCCATTTACCATTTATGCATTTGTATTTACATTTCTTTTATATCCAATGTTTTGTTTCAGTATGGAAATTGGTAATAATGGTTATCATAATCAGCATTTGCAGTGTATTCCCAACCCTGTAATGGCCAGGTAAAATCCATATATACTTTTTTAATTGCATGCCCTTTCAGATGCAGTCGGTGGTGGTTGTAGTGGGGTTTTAGAAGATATGTTGATGCAAGGAATGAGTGCATGTTAAGGGCTAGTAATCATCTGACAAGGCCCTCAAACCTATTCATAGGCTGGTTAAGTATGTATTCATTACTACAAATTATAGCCAAATAACTTTTACTAAAGAGGGTTTTTAGTCACCGAATGGGATTTACTAGAATAAGTTATAATCAACGGGGAAGTCAAATTCAATATTCAAATAACGTCTTACGGCGACAAACCACAGCAATTGCAACCACCATCCAGCAAGATTATCTGAAATAATTTGAACCTATTACAGCGATAATAGAAGCTCATTATTGCCAAGTAAAACATTTTAAAGAGTCAATCACTGAAATGTTAACAGAAACATGTCGACATTTTCGCTTCTTGCTGCCAGTCTGCCAGGCTGCATTGTCGTAGGCTTGATATGCATGATGTGGCGATAGAATTACGACTAACGCCGGTGAGCCACGCACATTGCTGGCTTTCGTGCCTCGACTTGCAGTGTCCTCCCGGTGCGCTGTAAGACGAGGTAGGACTGCAGGCATTTTGCATGGACACCATTGTATGTACCTTGCGTGCTCACTTCCCCCGACTCACATTAATCTGTCAGCCATACCACCTCTGACACCTGAGGAAGTCTCCTAACCGCATGAATGGGCTTCCGACAGTATTCTTCAGCTGCCTGTGTGGCGTGACAGAGTTTAAAAGCTGGAGGCTGAATTGCCCACAAAGGGTCATACTGTTGGCTGGCTGTAGTCAAAACAGTTTGCAATGTTGTTGAATGTCTCCCCCATTGGATGGATTGCAACATATCAGTTGGTCTTAAAATAATATTCCATTCGCACCAGTGCATGGCCCATCTCCTCATGTGTCATTAGAATTTCCATTAATATTGTGTGCCGTCTTTAAAAATCATGTAGGTTGTAGAATATTGTATCCACCCGTCTATTGTGCCGCCTACTCGGTACACGGTCGCTGCGGGGTCTACTTTGACCTACATGTATATTTCGTAATACCTCCATAAGCAGTGCATGCTCTCTTCTGGCATTCACCACCACGCTTACAGCTTTCCTCTATTAGCCGAAAGGCCTGAATGAGCCACGTGAACGTTATTCTGCCGTTAACCATCCCCTGGACTTGTTTCTGCACCACTAGCGTCTCTACTTATGATACAATGACTAGATTTCCCCGCGCCTCAGCGCCGCCCAGGCATGCGGACTGGTGAGCCCCCGACTGCTCAGGTAACTGTCAGCCGAGCCACAGGAAGTCCGTCGCATCTTTCCATCTCGCTCTGTTCGCGTGCCTCTGGGTCTGCACTTGAGGTGCGGCCCGCTCTGCTTTCTTCACGTCCTCTGTCATCACTTTGGAGCTCCATCAGTGTCATCCGGCACCTCTTAGCTCTTCTGATGTGTCCTCTCTTGCGATACATCATCCCATACTGTAGGTGGCGCCATGGTGCCAGCTACTTTTCCATGTAGCTGCAGACAATAATGTTATGACCACCACTAATGTAATAACGTGCCAATAACGTAATACATTTCTCATTTCTTAATGTAATAAAAATCAATAATGTAAGAACTGGCCGATAACGTAATAACGTATTACATTATTGGCCAGTTATTATATTATTGGCTGCTACATGCTTTCATTTTTACTGCCAAAACATCTCTCAGGTTATCCAACGTGTCCATGCTACTTTCGGATTCTTGTGTCACGTCATTTCTCATACCTTGACACGTCTTTGTGTCAGGTAGTTTGACCGAGAAGTTTCGCAATAAGCAGCCGAATCTGACCTAAGCCATCAGCATCTCCTGCACAAATGTATGTTAAAAGGGTTAATACATTTATCCAGATTGCATAAAACAGCCAAGTATACCAAGTTTGTCAGGTATGTTTGCGTAAAGATGTTCGTACGTCATAAGTACAAACATGTAATGCTTATGTTACATTACATTACTCTTTGATCAAGTTAACGATAGAGCCTAAATGGTTACATTCAGAATGCTGCAGGTCTATAGTTTTGTTGTGGTTTAGGTTACTGAAGCATAAGTCTGGATGCCCACTGGGGATGGTGTTTCTGGGGTCTAATTGTTTCACTTCTTCTTTTATGGTGGATGCACTCTACCCTTCCTCGCTCTGGATGTCAGCTGTTTTGTTTCTGTATTCATTCAAGCCTCTTGTCAAATAAATAAATTATTTTCCCTTAAGCTGCAATGTAATTGCAATGCACTTCATTACTTCAGTTATTTAGTTTGGGTCAATATTTGGTTCCAGGCTAACTAACCCATATCAATGTCTGTCTTGTAGCACCATCAATGGCATGAACTGAGGCCCTCGTTGGTAAGTCTTCATGAAGATAATTTTATCTGACAGACCGTATAGTGCACCGGCAATCGGGAACAAGAACTGTGCATTTCATAAAGACAAAAGACGGAATGTCGCCACATTCATGAGAAGTAAAACCGTAATTCTGTTATTACCCTCCTACACAGGGTTCCAGATGGACCAAAAAAGATAGAGGGATGAGCTGCTGAAGAGGCCGTTGTTGAGGGTCTAGATGTGCAAAGTCTCTCCCTCCCTGCACACTCTGTTACAGTGTCCTCTCCACTGCCTCTCCACTTTCAGAGGTGGAAAGTTCAGGTCCAGAAAGTACAAATCCAGGCCAAGATTTTGTTTCAACCCACCAGTTGAGTTACTCTATGAATGTCGCCCTTTATTCTCAACTGGTTGGTTGAAACGAAGTCTTAGTCTGGATTTGCACTTTCTGGACCTGAACTTTCCACCTCTGTCCATTTTCAACGTCAACACTGAACCGCACCAGAAATTCTTAGGTTGTGCGTGTGTGTTTTTTTTTTAAAGCTGAAACTCGTTTTTATATTCAAAGTGAGATAAAACTTGAAGCCTGAGTAGGGAGTGGTGTCTAACGTACGTCACCGCTAGCAATTACAGTCAATTACAGTATTTCAGAATATTTACCGGTGCAGTTACATGACAAAACCAACATGTACATTTTGTATGCTGTCAACTTTGGGATCTGTCCCAAATATTTTGTTAATATTTGTTTTGTAAACCATGTCCTTCGTATTTATGGTTCTTCTACTGTGTACATCATCCGCATTTAGGATACAGTTCTGGTTTTGCCGCACAATGCACAAACGTTTCCAGTTCAGTTACAGTAACAGTGACTGCAGTGCTGTCTCAAAGAAAGTTTTACTTTACTTTTTTTTACTTTTTTTTTTTTTTTTTTTAGAGAAATGAATAATAATGAACTAATTGGTAAATATGCACACTTTAAAATCAAAGGCAATCTTGGCTGATTCCCGCAGCATTTTCTTTAGAAACAGCTTGACTGTTGCCTTTATTGTGATATTGGCATATACATGTATATTGTGACAGAATGGAATATTATAAGCATAGATATAATTTTGCATCGCAGAAAGATTAGATATAACAAGCATTCTGTCATCTGTTGCCAGACATAATAATATTAAGCTATTGAAATTAATTGAATAATTTTAGACATAGGTTCATCAACATGACATATTTATATTGACTGTGAAAGTAACTAACTTAATTTGGTGGTATGATACACTAAAGGGACAATTTGAAGCCAAAATGTTTTGTATTGTAGCTCTGGGGTCTTTGAAGTTAGATTACTGTAGGTGCTCTGAAGAAAGAAAATAATATTCCATAAAATTTTTACAAAATAGCATAATAGTGAAGATTGACTACCAAAAAAAACCAACAAATATTTCTGAGCGGTAATAGCATATTATTTCTGGTTTAATGTCATGGAGAGGCACCCAGGCATTCTCAAGAATTATTATTATAACAAAATTATTATTATTCAAAGCAAACTAGACACACATGCTGTGTGTAAGACTGTTTTAGTCTGGGTGTCTCGTGTTCACCGCTCTTTGCGCCTGTTCATTGAGGATAGTCGTATTCCACCTTACGACCTGAACCGCAAGCCATGCAGTGACTCGGTGAATGTTCAGGGCTTGAGCGCAAACTAGTAGCCAGTTTCTAACCAGTTTAAAACAGTACGGGACTGTTTTTATTAATTTATGTATTTGGGCTTCTGCTCAGAAATCGGGAAATGACTGCCACTGGAACTTGACACCACTGGAGTGTAAAAAAAATGTGAATAAAAAAAATGTGAATAAAGAATTCAGTTTGTTGAGTCATTCTTTTTTATTTAACTAAACACAAACACAAAAATCAAATTAATAATATTTGCGGGTGATTGGTTCCAGGACCCCCCCCC